GCAGGGAGTGGGCTTCCTTAGTAGCTCTGACACTGGGGCTTTCAGAAGCTGCATGGTATTTGGGAGGTTGCCAGGGAGGTGGGCAGGGGAGATGCAAGGGTGAAGCTATTCCCGTGGTCAAGGGGCCCTGAGCAGAGGTCTGAAGGGCAGGCAGAAGGAGGCATGTAGTAAGTAGAAGGAGCTGTCCCATTCTCTATGTAGGTTGTTTGTGTACCTGCTTAGAGTGTCACAGATGGCCTCAGGGTTGGCCAGACAGCTTGCTCCAGGCTCAATGCCTTTACTCCCTCTATTCTGGCAGTCAGAGGAGGTAGGGTTGCCTCTCCAAACTCAAGTTCCTGAGGTTGCCGTTCTTTCTTCACAATCTCCCCAATGAGGCTCTGAGTTTTCTTTCAGTTCTTTGAGGCCTGGCTATATCTTAGGTCTTTTTTTTTTTTTTTGTCTTTTTGAAGCAGGGCCTCCCTATAGCCCCAGCTGTCTTGGAGCTCACTATGTAGACCAGGCTGGCCTTGAACTCACAGATATCTGCATGCTTCTGCCTCCCAAGTGCTGGGACTACAAGCGTGTGCCACCATGCCCAGCTAGGTCTTTCTTTTTTGACTTGATAAGTAGCCCAGGCTGGCCTCTAGCTTGAGATCTTTGTGCCTCAACCTCATGAGTGCTGGGATTATGCCTGGCTCTCAGATCTCTTGGAGTGCATTGGTTTCAAGATGACACTTTGCTTTCTTGAAGCCTGTGTACTGACGGTCCCTCCCTCAGCAGCTCTGGGAAGTCCCCACATGAACTGGCAAGCAATCCTGTTTCCAGTCCCTCTGGGTGACTGATTAATGCCCATCTTACCATTTCATGGGATCCTCATTCAGTCTTGGTGCTTGTGGTGGACAAGTCCAGGCTGTTGTGATAGAAACAGCTTATGATGTGTGTATCCTCAGTGCTTTACACATATTAACCCATTTGTTTTCACATCTATCCTATTATCTCTATTTCACAAGAGAAGAAATTGAGGCCCAGAGGCAGTAAACGCATCCCTCCATGGTCAGTCAGCTGGGAGCAAGCAAAGTTGAGATTCTAGTCCAGGCAGTAGGGTTCCAGTTGTCTTAATGGAAGCCTCCAGCAAAATTCCCTGACTTGGAAAAGTTTCCAGAACTTTCTAAAGCCAGTACTCACCTGGTGAGGAATTAGCTAGGGAAGATGTGAGAATAATGTGCCAAAGGCCAAGCTTCAGAGGATACACCTCCTTATCCTCTACTCAGCACTACATCTTACACAGAAAAATACCTGCCTTCTTTTCTACAACCTTGCTCGTTTTTACGTCTGAGTAGCTTGTCAGTTTAGTGGGAGACCACAGCATTCACATTTTCTTCTACACCTGCCTCTTTAGTCTTGACAGCTGACTTCAAAGTCAATTGGTTTCTGAAGGTTTGTGCACATCCCTGAGATCATGCACTTCTTAAACCTGGGGTCCATCTTTCTTTCCCACTGCATCTAGAACACTGCTGGAATACGTTTTTGTTTATTGAATGAATAGATAAATGAAATGAATAAACAAAGTGAGGGGATCATTTAGCCTCAGAAATGTTAAGTACTGCTACAACCAAGGTTCCCATTTGCTCATCCAGATCCTTTGAATTCCAGGGCTTACTCTCAGCAAGCTTAGTATTATATTTGCATTGGTATTTTTTTGTTATGATCCTTCTGTCACCTCAGAAATTAAGTACATATTATATACAAATATATAGGTTATATATTAATATACATATTTAACCTGGTAAAGATGAGGGAAAAACATCTTTGGAAACAAAAAGCCTGACACATATGGAATATTCAGAGGGTACATTTGGAAGGTCAGGAATGCTTATCCAGGGAACTTGGTCTGCAAACAGTGTACTGTAGACAGTGGTTCTCTATCTGTTCCACATATAAAAACCATCTAGGAGAGATTCTGATTTAGTTGGTTTGAGATAGGGCCTTCCATTGACATTTCTGTTTTCTTTGAGAGACAAAGAGAGGGTCTTGCCATGTAGTCCAGGCTGGCTTCAAACTTGATCCTCCTGCCTCCCTAGTGCTGGGATTACAAGTGTGTGCTATCATGTCCAGTGTATTGACTCTCCAAGTGATTGAAATGAACCATCCTCATGGAGAGCCCCACTAAGGCACCAGGCCAGAGCAGCATCACTTTCTACCAAGAAGTGGGTAAAATGAGCAATGATGGCTCAGAAGGATGAGAAAATCCTTGACCCTGAAAGTGAGGCCAGCTAGGAAGATAAAACATTTTTTCCCCCTAAACACTCCCTTATTTGTCCTCCGCCTCCTGATCCCATAATCTCCAAGCTCTGTAGAAGACCTAGAATTCTTAGATCATTGGAGAGAGGACAGGAAATGACCATGAGCCCATCCTAGCCTCACTGGGCTTCATTCATTCATACCCTAGCACCACAGGTGACGATGTGGTTTCTAATCACACAGCTGCAAGAAAAGGCCTTCACATTCAGCCATCAAAAAGAAAAAGAAAAGTATATTTCCTCCAGCATCAGCAGTAAGGGGTCACAGACAGGAAGAAAAAGTTAGCTGATTCCCTAGGGAGAGCTGTAGATGGCTGGGGCAGGGGCAGTCACCATGCTAGAGAGGAAGTGAAAGAGGCTCCCAAGAGCCACCTTGGGCCCTCCTGGGGTGTTATTACCAGGGCTAGAGGAAAGTGGTCAAAGAAGGGGGAACTAGTCTAGAGTGGAGCTCAGTGGGAGAGCACTTGCCTAGCAATGAAGGAGTCCCTGAATCTGATCCACAGTGCTGGTGGTTAAGGGTGGGGAGAAAAGAGAAACTTCCTTTAATAGGTGACAGGACCAGCCTGCCACTAGGCTTCTGGGCTGCTTTGGATGGTCAGTACAGGGTCTGAACCTAGCATATTTGTAGATGCTTGCAGGAATTATATAGCAATGTGTAGATGTATATTTTAAAGGGGAACCACTAGAAAACCATTTATCAATAAGAGAAAAACAAGTTTTGGCCATGGTAGGGTGGGGCAAAAATTCTAGTTACTCTCATATAGCACAGTAACAGTGTGAGGATCAAGAGGGTCAGTGGCCTTTCATTTCAAAGTTGAGCTCTCTTCAGGTATGTCCAGTCTACAGCAGGCTGTCTGCTTTCAATTAGGGGGAAAATTATTAGAAGAGAATTTTGGCTTGCACATGGGAGCCAGAAAGAGGCAAGGGGTATTGGGTCAGGCCCTCTGCATCCTTTGTGATTAACTATGTGGCTCTAGGTAGATGAGTCTACCTCTCTGGGCTCTCTCTCCTATTCCCCAGGATGGAAGCACTGGGTACCAGCTCTCCACTTATTCTGTTAAGCTGCAGTTCCCTTCTTTTTCTCCCTGCTAAATAGAAGCATGCAGGAATCCAAAATATGAAACAGGTTTGGAAGATGAGCGGCCTGTGTCTCTGAGATTCCCTCCCAGAGTCCTAGGGTGCTTCCTATGACTTTGTAAGAATGGGGTGGGGATGGCAAGCCCTCTTATACAACAGTCTCAGTTTGGGGGCTGGGGGGGGCTACAACAACACCCACATGGCAGAAAGTGGCACCCCAGGAGCACCCCAGTGTACCTACAGGATAAAGTGAGGACCCTTGACAAAGCAAGTAGAAAGATTTCATTCTAAACTCCAGGTCACAGTGGCTAAAATGTATACTTACTTGGGGGTTCTGTCACATTCAAAAATATTCAATCCAACTGAGTTTATTTCAAACAGACCTCTCCAGTGTTGGTAGGAATGAAATGAATTGACTTCAGTTATGCCTTAATTTCAGAGAGGCAGTTTTGAAAGCTGTGGTTCCCCAAGCTCTAAAATACTAAGCCATTTGTCCTAATGACACAGCAGACTCTGAACTGCAGAATACCACAGGAATATCACACCACTGCAAATTACTAAGGATGCTGAGTCTTCAAAAAAGGGAAGTGAAACAAAAGCACTGCACTGTGTTTGAGATGCATACTTGATTTGGGCAAATGGAGTTGTTTCCAAGACAGTTTTCCTGGAAGCAGAATTATTCTGCACAGTTACACAGCCCTAAGTTTTCCCTTTGTGGTGTCTATCTATGTATAAACACAGGACCCATGTTGCAGCCTCTTTTTCTCTTTCTCTGAAGCTGCACAGACAAGGCCGTTTTGTCATGGGGAAGTGCAGGGCCAGTTAACCTTATAAAAGAAGTCATTTAATGCTCAATTTTCCCAACTTTCCTATGATTAAAAACTTTTACCCTCCAATGCTGCTATTGTATTCCAGATTGTTCTTTTTCTCTCTTGCCCAACAAACATTTAACTTGTCTCTGCTCTGCCGATTCTCTTTTTCCAAGCTGACCTTGAAAACTGAGACACTCTCCTTTTATGTATCCCAAACTATTTTAAAATCCAGGCCCTCTGACCTTTTTACGGCACACTGCTTGCCTGGCATACCAAATTTGAAAGCCAAAGAGGAGGTAAAGGGTCTGGGGAGTGGGTGGGTATGGAATCAGGGGAGGTACTATATATTTGGCATCAGCTCAGAAATTCAGAAAATGTTTGTGCAACTACTCCCCCAGCCAGGATTCCCCACCCCCACCCCCACCACTCGGTCTTCCAGTACTTGAATAAGAAAAGATGTGCGAGTGAAACCGGAGAGTACCGGAGGGGCAGTTAAGATGGTCACAAGGGTACACCCAGGGAAGCCTCCTGGTGGCCAGCCCACTTGTCATCTCTCCTTCCTTCTCAACACTCAAAGCTTAAGCCTCTTGGGCTTCCACCCCCAGGAGTGGCCCGTAAAACCCGCTGCTGCAACGCCCATTAACGGCTCCTAAGGACAGAAGTATTTGTGCGTCGGAGTGACAGCGCTGTGCACCCTAAGAACCACGAATGTTCTTTTCCAAAGTACAGTGAATGCACAAGCCTGGAATACATTAACTTGGGAATTGCATCCAACACACCCCACGAGAATCCATCGCTCTCAAACAAAAAGAAGGGAGGGTAGGCACATTACCATCCTGTCCCGAGCTTTCCAGATACTCCGTCAGGTCACATCCAAACGCACTGGCGGCTCCCTTTCGTTTCAGCTTCTGCTTGGCACCCTTGTTCTTCATGAGTTAGTCCCAAGAGGCTGCCCCTCCGTCTCCGCTCCCTCTGCTTGGCACCCCCGGGACTATGCTCTCGGGGGTTCGATCACCGGTGCTGCGCGGCGCTGGGGGCCGGCATGGGCGCGCGGAGGGACGTGGCGGTGTAGCTGCTCTGCGATCCCGGGGCGTGGCGCGCAGGGCAGGGTGCGGCGGGGTGCGGGCCGGGGCGCGGCGGGGAGCACCAGCCCGCGGAGCCTGCAGTCCAACGGGCCTCCAGGGTCCCGGCTTCCTCACTCCGAGTCCCCGCGACTTCCCCGGGTTCCTGCGGCGTCCTGGCGCGGCTCTCCTCTCCGCCTACCCAGGTGCCCAGGACAGGGCGCGGGCGGCCGGCAGCGGCGAGGGACAGCCCCGGGGCTGCTGTGGCTCAGCCTGGGCCCGCGCGGCTGCGCTCAGACGGCGCAGCGAAAAACAAGCATCCTGTCTCCGCGCCCGCCCTCACGCCTGCCCTTTTTTCCTGTCTTACAAATCCTAGGATCATCCAGCTCAGGAAACGCTGGAAGGAAGTTAGCTCGGGAGGGGGGCGGAGGCTGGAAATTTTTGGCAGCTCTTAGCGAGTGTGTGTGTGTGTGTGTGTGTGTGTGTGTGTGTGTGTGCGCGTGTGTGTGTGTGTGTGTGTGTGTGTGTGTGTGTATGTGTGTGGGCGCGCGCGCGCGTGTGCGTGTGTGTAGCCGGAGGAAGTGGGTGGGTGGGTTGAGCAGTGCGGGCTGGGGGAAGAGATCGCGCTCTCCTGAGTCTGATCTGCGACTGCAGAGATAGCCCCGGGCGGCCCCGGAGGAAATCGGCCTCAGCTCTGGGGACCCGCGGCCGCCCGCCCGCTTCCTGCCGCGCCAGCCGGGCTCTTTGAAGAGGACAGGAGGCGGTGCCCTCGCTCCGCTGGGAGGGCGCGCGATGGGCGCTCTCGAAGTTCTGTCTCCGAGTTATCCTCATTGTCATCCTATCCCTGACACTTTCTATTTCAGTGCCTGCCGTTCTCCTCTGCAAACACTTAAAGACCAGTCACATTAACAACGTCTGGGAGTCGGGGGAGAAACCTGACGGTCAGAGCGGTTACGCTGGCCACTCCCATCCCTCCTTGCCAGGGTCTGCGTCCCCAAGCCCAGACGTCTCCTCTCCCACGCAGAGGTAAGGATACCCTCGGGCAAGAGAGAGGAGAGAGGAGAGAGAGGAGGGAGGGGGAGGAGGGAGAGAGGGAGAGAGGGAGAGATTGTAAGTTTGTAACCACTGCCCAGGAAGTGAGATTTCTGGTTACAAATTCTTCAGACAGACTGACAGACAGACAGACCACACACACACACACACACACACACACACACACACACACAGGCGTTCACTCACGCACAAGCGAGTGGCAGATGTGGTAAATGCCTGTGATCTGGGACTAGAAACGAGGGTTTAAGGGGGCTCTGACATTGTTGCATCATGCAGAGAACTCCTAGGTCGCTTTCTAAGTCCTCACATGCTCTTTCAGGAGGTAATGTTTTTCCTTCTTCAGTTAAGTTGAAAATCCTTGACTTCTGTGTTTTCACTACACAGTAAGCACTCAAATTCTTGTGCCTTTAACCATTTGAGGAGTAAATTAAACTTCCTGTATAAATTCAAATCCGTATATAGGCTTGAAGGGTAGGGATATCATAGAGCACAGACTGCTGGCAAAAGTGTTATGTATATAATATTCAGTTACTGAATCCCCTTACAGCTACTTATGTATCATCATGACAGTTTGTGAACTTTGACCTCTGACCTTTTTACTTATGACCTGATATGATAGCCAGCCTACAAAATCTGGCCCACAGATGTGTTTGGTTTGGCACATACCATGCTTTAATGAAAAATAAAAATAAAAATAAAAATTAGTAGCCAAGCCTAGTGAATTAAAATATTTCTCCATAAGAAATCTGGACTTCTGTCTTTTCTTGTAAAATGGAAGTTCAGGTTATACCACAAGTGTGTTCTCATACACCAAAGACTTCTGATGCCTAGTCATGACAGCCCCCTTTAGAGATGACTCTTCCAATTTGAAGCTCTCACTGCCCGTCTTCAGGCCTCTGGAGACACAAGAGTTTCTAGCCACTCCCCAGGCTCTAGTATGGTCTCCCTTCTGTTTTCCCATCTCTCTCAGTGACACCACCACTGGCTCAAGTCATCTTGGTGAGACATCTCCAAGCAACCACTGACTCATTACTCTCCTCTACTACCACTTCCAAACTAGTCTCACCCAGAAGGATGAGCCCTTCAAAATGCTTCTCTGCCGGGGTTCTTCTCTGTTAGGCCTCCTTGATAGCAATCATTTACCCCCTCAGCCATTAGGATATTTCCCAGAGGGATTTGCTGAGCTCAAGCTCCTCCCATTTCATCATTACTACATACTTAGAGGCCTGGAGGGGCTTCCTGAATTACTGTTGTTGTGATGTGCTTGCTTGCTCAAAATCTATCAATGACTGTTTCCAATGGCTAGGGCAATAATTCCTAAGCATTTTATAAGCTGTTTGGATACTTAATATAATGCCTTTTTTCTCCTTTTAATTTATAGAAAAGTGTTTTCATATGGAAGTCTAAGGATCACTACTAACACTTGTTTAGGAGTTTACTTTGGTCAGGGCTCTCATACTCTCATTATTTTTCTTTCTTCTTGCTTACTCTAAGCAGATTCTTTTATGGGTCTTTGGGGGAAAAATCAGATTTAAGTTCCAAAGGGTTTTTTGTTGTACTGTGGATTTCCTAGGATGCAAGGTTATACGGACATAGTAGAGGAATGCTAACTGAAGGAATAACAAAGCCAATTGGTGGTAAGTTATGCCTGGAGTAAATTTACTCGAAACACACTTTACTCAAGAGAACTGCTACTGAAGAGTTCTGCAACTGCTGTGATGCCTCTTATCTGCACCTGCTGAGGACTGATGCCCGCCAAAGGGTGCTGTCATAGTTGGCTTCAGCTGTCAATTTGACACAAACTTAGAGACATCTGGGAAGAGGAAATCTCTGCTGAAGAATTTCCCAGATCAATCTGGCCTGTGGTTATGTCTGGGAGGTATTTTCCTAATTGCTGATCGATATAGGAGGGCCCAGCTCACTGTCAGCAGTGCCATCCCTGGGCAAGGGGGTGGGGCTGGGCTGTATAAGAAAGATAGCTCAGCAAGTTAGAGGAAGCAAGCTAGAAACCAGCATTCCTCAAGACTCTGCTTCAGTTTTTCCCTCCAGGTTCCTGCCTTGGATTCCCTTGATGAGGGACTGTAACCGAAAGCCGAAATAAACCCTTTCCTTTCCCAAGTTGCTTTTGGTCAGTGTTTTATCACAGCAACAGAGATGCAAACTAGAAGAGGTACCCGCTGCTTGCTTCATTGCCATGTAAGGTGGCAATCGTCCCTGAGTTGGTAACTAGAAGTCAGGCTGCAGGTACTGGAAGCCTTTAGTTTCACCTGTGATTACAACCTTTTCTTTTACCCAATTTGTCCATAGAACAAACTGGAATCAGCCACTTCAGCATAGCTCCTTCTCCAGGTAGCTAATTACATGTTCTTTAAGACTTCTCACCCATGATCTGTGATTGAGTATGTTCTGAATTTCTTGTTCTCAGGTATTATATAGAGTGTCAGTTCATTGTCTAGTTAGATCTATTTCCTTCTGACTTTTTCTTTCTCTCACTGCCCCTAGCTGCTCTTGTGTTAAAGTGCTTGCATAGAATCTGCGAATGAGAGAAACTGTGACCATGGCCTGTACCTCACCTCAGCCCAACACTCAATAGCCCAAGGTTCTGAGGCCCACAGAGGATAGAGGGTGACCAGAGCAAAAGGACTTCAGAAAATTGTATATCCTAAGCTCCATTATTGCATTTCCTGTGCATATCTCCTAGGTTTCTGTTATGTTGCAAATAGGTGCCTCCAAATGTCCAGATGAGATGTCCTAAACTTCCATAGAGAGCATGGTAGGTGCAGAGGTCACAGTACCAATCCCTAACCAAGCATGGAGGTTTACTTCCTGGGAGAGAAAGAATGAGAACCAGAACAACTCTCCATCCTGACTAGTTCACCTCCCAGTGCTCTATCATCTCTGCAACTACGGAAGCCAGTGTTGTTCTAAATGGACTTCCAAGCTGAGCACGTACAGTAGTAAGAATCAGAGAGAAGGAGCTTTAAAGGGCCACCCCAGCTGAAATATGTTGGGGAATAGTCTTTCTCCATACATACATATATACATTTCCTTTAGCTTCTAGATGTGGAGAACTAACTCAGAGATACACACACACACTTCTTTGTATGCTCTCTTTCCTGACTGAGCAAGTAATTAACCACCAACTAGGAAGTTTGGGGTAGAAAGGGTGGAAAATAAGAGAAAAGTCAGAAAGAGACTAGGTTACAAATGAAGCCTTATTCTCTTTAATGACAAACACCAGTTGACCCAGCCCTTTCAATTCAGATCCTTGCACTAAAAGACTAGACATAAAAAAGTAAAGCCAAAACCCTCCATGTTTTTGAGATGTGGGGACTGGTACGGGCAAATGTTGTTTGTTTTTTGTCGTTTTGAGACAGGGTCTCCCTGTAGCCCCTGTAGTCCCTGGAACTTTCTATGTAGACAAGGCTAGCCTTGAACTCACAGCCTCTGCCTCCCAAGTGGTGAGATCAAAGGTGTACACCACCACACCCAGCTGTTTTTTTTAATAGAAAGATATAACACATTTATCCATATATCAAGGGCCATAACAGAACTTTAAGGAAGAAATGTTTTTGTTAGTATAAAATGCAAGACAGAATAGAAAGTGACAGAATGAGAGATGAGGTACCTGCATATGTCTGAAATTATTTCAGAAATGAAATTTTCACCACCAATATTTTAGTTATACTCTAATAGCTTTGCATTGAATACTGTTACTGTTAAAAAACAACATTAGGAGGTCTGGAGATCTTTGGTGTTCTGAATGTTTAAAAAACCATCAGGACATTTGACCTACATGCACAGTTTGGCATTAAAAGGGTCTTTAGTATTTCAGACAGGATGAATGAACATAAGGCCCGCTTGTTTCAGTCCAACATGGCACTGGACGCTGCCAAACAGCAGCAGAGTACTTCCTTCCTAGTTCAACCAGAGAAGTGACTTCACAAGGACAGAGGGAGAGTCAAGTGCCAGGGTTGGACCGTGTTATGCCCACTTCTGAACCCTATGGGACCTCGCCTTAGGCTCGCATCTGAGATTGGGTCCATTTAGCCTGAGGCCTCGGTTAAGCAGCCCAGCCGGAAAGATGGCTGGACTGCTTTACAGGCAGGAGCCCCAGAAGCCTGTCAAGGTCTGTCCTGAGGGTCTGCAAGTTAAGTTTTCTGGTCCCTCCCAGTAGTTAACCTCAAGGTGGTTTCTCTAGTATCCTGTGCTATCTTTGCCTTCTCAAAGTGTGAGAAAACTTTCATTACTCCTGGAATATGGACTTTCTCAGGAGAAAACGTCTTGCCTAGTTGGTTTATTTCTGTAATTCTGGTTTGGTTCTGTTGCATCCTTCTGCCTCTACTTCCCCCTTCCACTTC